TATCGGTATGTGTCTAAAATCTCTGATTTAAGTGAGTTGATAAAAACACTCCACTTGTGTTTAAAGTTTATAAGTCAGTCAGTGGTTTATTATGTATGGGTCAGTTCTTCTTATATCTATTGTTGTTGATTATTCTTCTATGAGTAATATATCTTAATCATACCTTTTCTAATATTTCACATAACAAATGACTAATAAATATATAAATTTTGGGTCCATATCCATATTAATAGCTAGAGTATCGTTATAGTATCGGAAATGATAACGTTTTAATCATAAAAGCTGTTATTTTTAGAAATTATACAGCCATACAGATGTTATGTGCAGGTTCTGGTACTTCAAAGACTAAAATACATAAAAAAAAATACCAATAAAAAAAACATAATTACAAAGCAACAAAAGAATGCAGAGAAAACAGTTTTCAAAATCCTTTTTTCAATAAAAAAGTATGAAATCAACCCTTACAGCAAGAATTTTTTATTTGTTGGGAGACAGTAAGGATCTTCCATTGACAATTATGTTTTGACAATTACGACAATAAGCATATTCCACTGATATCTGAATAGCTCAAATAAAGTGGGCAGATTTGTCAAAAATGTTACTCATTTACAAGTAGGGTTACTTCGCAAAAAATTTACTAATGTAAGATGTACAGAGAGGGAAAAAAACTCCCAAAACTTTTTTTAATGCTGTAAAGTTAACTAATTGTTAAAAACTCTAAATCAATAACTTTTGTAGCCTAAGATTTATTGGTGATGATTACATCATTTGAAACATTCTTTGCATATTTTGTGCAATAACACCTTGGAAAAGTTAATGCAATGTTTGGTTTTCTAAAGTTCATTTATAATTTTGAGGCACACAGCTCTATGGGTTTTTTTAGTTTGAGATCTTTGCTATAATTTCTTTCTGAAACTGAGTATTCTGCAAAAAAGCTGTCCTCCCCATGTTGCTTCCCACTGAACTTCAAGTTGTTACTGTAATCTGGACCATCTCTGGGTTAGTCTTTCAGCTCTACTGCTAAAAAGCATACCCATAGAATAATGCTGCCACCACTATTGTAGACTTGGCTAGATGTATTGTATGAAAGTGGTTATATATGGTTTTCTTGGAATAAAATATAACACAGTTGGATATCAACCGAGCTATTTAATTTTTGGTCTCTTTTGGTATCTTCCAAACAAAAGAATATTTTCCTCTTTCTATATAAAATAATAAACATACTTGACTGTGTGTTTCAGTAGCTAAACTTTTATAACCTCTACTAGTAATAGAAAAATATATAAAAGAAACTGAAAAGATATAGATCCCAAAGCTTTCTCTGTGCCCATACATCCCTGTCTAATCCCCAATAGCGGCCCGCAGTCTCCAACTTCAACACTTTACCTTGCAGCTTTTAGAACTTTAGATTTATTAGTCTAAATATTTCAAAATGACTAAGTTCCTCTAAGAAGCAGACACCATTTTTAAACCACATACCTTGTGTAGTATTTAGGGTGAGTGAAGACTACTGAAACCCACCTTCACCGATGAAAAATATGCGTCCAAGTTTGGTTAGACATTTATCGCAGTTATCCATGATCTTAGATGTAAGGAAGTGGTATCGGTCTAAATGTTTGTTTTTTTGTTTGTTTGTTTTGCATCAACTTCATGTTATTGGACAATTCAAAGTAAGCCTGCATATGGCATACTTCTGCAGGACCAAGGTTAAATAGAGGATGGAGACAAAGCAGGTACAAACGACTAAAAAACTGCCTCAGTCCTACAACTACTGCCAGCTGCTTTCATATTGTACTTTTATGCATCCTTTGAGTCACTAAAGGAGACAGTTTGGGCTATAAAAAAAAAAATGATAACACATCTAGGGGTGTCCCAATCCAACATTATTATCGGATATCGGCCTGATGTTAGCCAGAAAACTGATATCAGTTTTTATCGGCTGGCATGTAAAATCTGCGATATGTTCATGCTGATGGAAAAGCTTTTAAAGGTTTCTCTAACTTTACATTTTACATTGGAGTTTCCATTCTTTTTGATTTGTCATACCTTTCGTTCCCTGTTTTTACAATTACCCCTTGAACAAACCTTTTCCAAAATTCTACAGTATAAAATAACCAATAAAAACGTGTATGTTTCCTGCTAATATTGTATCATGTTAATAGCGAAATCATCCAGTTCTCAGAGCTGCAATATCCGTTTTGTTTGGGAAATTAAAAAATTGCATTGCATCATCCCTACATACATCACATGGTATTTATGACTACAATCAGTTTTACCTTAAAAATGGTCGTTCCAAGACCTTTTCAGGACATACATATGTTTCTATTAAGGCAGACCATTGAACTTAACAAACTCAAACATCTTGGGGTAATTAATGGCCCCGATTGAGAAAATTCCTACGATCACAACCAAATACATATTCACATCCTACCCAAACATTAAAAAAAAGTTATCCAGAGATGAAGCTTTTAGGCACAGCAGTCCAATCCATCTTAGTGTGGGTAGTACAGAATGAGACATGAGAAAGTGTCAAGTGAAGGTTAGTGAATGGCAACACTCAGCAGCAAAAACGGGGCTGTAAATCCAGGTGTAAAATTAAGTGCACGGCTCTAATCCAAACGACTACGTGTTGAGTGACGTCCTCAAACACCCACCTACCCATTGGGCTGAACAAAACGCAGTCTGTTCCCTCTACTCTGCGTCTGAGTGGGAGAAACACACAATCACACTTTCTTAAAGTACAATTGTCTTAGCTCAGATGCTATTCCACCAACAGGAACCATCAACTTCACATTGGCACAGTTTAGAAAAGAAGTTGAAAGAAGTCTGAATAGAAAATCTGAAGTATTTCAAGTACAGGATTACAGGAAGGATTGAAATTAGATGTAGTGCTGGGTACAGAAATGCACTTTATAGAATATAATTTCTCTATATTCAATCAAAGGAAATAATTGATAGTGATGAAAGGTAGCTTGGATGATGACAAGCATTAAGGAACAATGAGCTCAAGCAGTTTGTTGTTCAAATGACTAAATCAATACAGACAAACAGAAAATAATGAATACTATAATCAAGATATCGCCCATAGCCTTCTTAGAAAGCAATCAATGCCTCCAAGTGCAATGTAAAGAGCTAGATTTGATGGTATAGTAACAAAGTGTCCATAAAAGAGTCTTTTAATACTAACTACCAATTTAGCAAAACACCTGTATTTACATTGATACTAGAGACAGAGGTGCACTGATTTAAAAGCTAGCTGATTTGAACAGATTCAAGAGGGCAAAATAAAATATCAGACACATCTTAAGTCACAAGTCAGAATTCTGTGAAAGAAAATTAAAAACATACTCCATTCCTTTAACTTTACTGGTTTGCATTGCCCCGTGTTGGCCTATCATAAAATTGATGCAGTAAGGATGGCGGTCATAATCTGGGAAATTTTAAAAGATCAAAACTAACTTCTAAAAAGGCAATGTTATTTTACAAATCAAGAATGTTGAGAGATAAACATGACTAAGAAAGGACTTCCAAGCAAAATAAATGATTTAAACAGAAGTTGCTTTACGTCATGTGTATCTTCTGTTTTTGGACAATACTATGCAGTTGTTCTGTGCAGCCACATGTGAATCAGAAAGAGATGTGTGCGTCTGCAGGAAACCAAATGGACCCAGAGGATTAGTGGCTGACTTGGTGAGTGACTCTTGTTCTGCTCCAGATGTTTATCAAGTCACAAAGCCCTCAAAGCTCTCGGCGTGTAGGTAGAGAACACAACCTCCTTTCAACACACGCATACATACACACAGAGGCACAAACATTCCAACTGCTGCCTAAGGTGCAGCCCAGTGAGAAATTTGCTGATAGGAAATTTCCTGTGCATCTGATTCTGCTTAGGCGAACAACATAAGGTCAGAAGTTCCAATATGTTAATTTAAAAAGCAGATACTTTTTTTTTCTTCCTTTTTTGGCATGTGGGACTACCAAAATGTTTTTAAAAGGGGTGATGGGGCTACTTCCTAAGGTGGTAATCCAAACGTTGACATGGTGAGCTTTTACATATGGATACATATACATGAAAATCTAAATAAAATTAGAAAAAAATATATTTTTGAAAATGATCTCATCTAAATAACTAAAGACATAATTTATTATATGCATAAATTACTGCTAAGTAATGGCGCAAACTAAGGCTGTTATGGACAAGCTCATTGCCCCGCACCAATCAAATTCAAGAATCTATTTCACTTAAGAGTCAAATGATTTTTAATATTCAAAAATATTTCTCTCTTTAGAACCATACTATAAAAAATCTGAAATTATAGATAGATAGATAGATAGATAGATAGATAGATTTATACATATATACACATACATATATATATATATTTACTAAATTATTCATTTACTGAACTGTATTACTTGTTAAACTCCTAGTTTGTTAATATTATTCACTTTGCCATTCCATCACTGGTAAATCTGCTGTTAATATATCACAACAAATAAGAGTCTTTTTTGACGCATAAATAATTGAGTCACTTGATTGAAACATTGAATAAACTACATCAATTATATTTTAAATTATAAATAAAAAAAAAGTGAAAAACTAAAGATTATTTGCCTCATGGCATAAACAGAATCCGCTCCCTGTTCCTGAGGTGCCAACCGTGCGTAATGACGCTGCGCTTCTGGAGCGGGCAAGCTGAACTTTTAGGAGGACATGCCACTTAACATTCACATTAAATATCAATCAGAGCACCTCTGATTCCTCGATCGAGCCCTGACACGTCATACAAATGCTTCAGCTTTCCAACTTGCAGCTAGAGGCAGAAATATGTAAAAGTCACGTGAAAGCATAAATAGCCATCCGGAGCGTCATTTCGCTTTAAGTTGGTTTGACGTATAAAACTACACATAAAAAGCAGTTGTATGCATCCAGTGAAACTCTGAAAATATTGATTAACTTCACCGTATCTAGATATTGGAAAAAGAGAAACAAATCTTACCAAGATACTGCCTGATGTCAAGGAGGATTCTTGGAGCGCCGCCGTTGAGTTGGTAAAAAAGCGAGCCAAAGCAGAAGAGGAAGAGCGCAGCCATGCAAAAACCGTAACCTCGCAAGGAGAAGCGCCACGGTAGAGCGCTGAGCAAGCCGTGCTTTCGGTGGTGGCGCTCTCTGATGTGGTTGGGAGTCTGGTGATGGTTGTTGTTGCTGTTGTGAGAGGGACTGCTGCTAAAATTCTTCATCATCTCCACCTCACAAAGCAACGTGGAAAGTCACCCATCCGCCTCTTGGAAGTAAAAGTTGCCGCTTTAGGATCATTTGATGGATGGGGAGAACGGTTAAATGTAGAAGACGCGCAAGAAACTCTGGATCTCCTTCCCTGCTGCTCCTGCTCCTGCTGCCTCTGGGTTTAGGTTGTTTTTAAGATGAACAGCGCTCTGCTCCTGATCAGTCCTATCTTCTTAGATGAGTCTTCCTTCCTTCCTTCCTCTCTTCCTTCCAGCAGAGTTAAGGGTTCATCCTTCTCCTCTGAGGCTGTATCGGTGTCAGATTACTGAACGCGGAGAGAAGTAAAAAGTCCACCTAAGACTTGATTTGGACGGGGGAGCGTAAAACAGCGCCTCTCAGCGTCAGTAGAGGGGGGTATTTATGCAGAAGGAGTTGGGATTGAATTTAGAATTTAAAAGCTGTATTTTACTTTTGCATTTTAATGAAAAAGACCAATATAGCACATCATTTAGAAATTGTAGGTTTTCAAATTCTCTTGAAAAACAAAATCTAAAAAGTTTGCTGGGCAACCTCGGCGTACAGGTAGAGAACACAACAAAAAGTTAATTGCAAAAGTTTGCAATTACGGTAAGCTCACTGAATAGGTACATCATATCACCTAATTCCCTCGAAGCTCATGATTTTATTCTGTTTACACATACAAAATGAACAGTCTGTGAACAGCAGTTTTCAACTTTAGCACCAATACTTCATTGGGTTTAAGTTAAGGCTCTGACAGAGTCATTATTTGATACGAACCGTTGCATTTTGGCTTTGACGACAATAAGAGTTGTCCTATAGGAATGTGAACCTCTGACTCACTCTCAAGTGGTTTGAAGCCTATAGCATTTTTTTTTCTTTTAAAACTCGCCATGTATTTAGCTGCATCAGTCTTCCAATCAATTTTAAGAAGTGTTGCTTTCAATCAAGAAAAGCAGTCCTGGTTGCATGCACTTTCAGTTTTCTGAAGCTGTTAAAATATGGTTTTCTTAGATATTTAATACTTAAAATATTTTATAACCTAAACCTACTTTGAACTTCTCCATATCTTTATCCTAAATATGTCTGATGGGTTCCTCAGTTGCATGATTCGCTTTGTTCACTGAGGTTCTCTAAATTCTAAAGCCCAAACACAGTTGCTGCTTTAAGATTTAATTACACACATATAGAATCACGCTATTTACTAAGTAGGTCATTTCTAAAGGGAAGTGCTAGCACTATGTTAATTTGTTGATATTCAAGGGTATTAAGGGGGCTGATTATAGATCTAAACCGCACATTTAAGACTTTTTGAAAATTATCAATTTCCTTTCAGCAAAATTTCTGTACCACTTGGAGTTAGTCTGTTACAGAAGATCTAAATTAAATCCATTGTAACTTCTGGTTGTAACTTAGAATTAAAAATCCTAAGCATTTTCTAGATTCCAACTAAAGGGGATGGGATAAATATATTGGGACTAAGAGCATTAATGGTTTTATTAATTTGATCAGTTACTATTAATTAAGTTATTTAAAGTAATTAAAAATTTTATCTTAAAAGCTCCACAGCTAATATAGACTTTAAATAGTTTAGATTCAAGTCTAAACATTTATGTCACTGAAATTTGGATAAAGTATGGAGGAGCTAACTTGCATCTATTCGTTTCTTTATGTAATAGAGGTTTGTTTATAAACCTTCACTTGACCAGTAAAAAGAAACCATGGCAATACTCCATGGGATGGGAAAAATAAAAATAAAGATCTAATAGTATAGAGTGTTAAAGAGAGGACATTTTCACTAATTTAAAGATTCAGGTAAACATTATGCTGGAGTGTAGGTGTGTGTGTATATGAATATGTTCCTTAACCAACCCCCCCAGACAACTTTAACCAGGTACGTTTGAACCATATATGTATCATTAGACATCGCCTTCACTTAGGTTATTGATAAATGTTTAACTAACAGCCTGTCGAAGATTAAAACAAAATAAAAAAAACTGGCTTTAAAGAGTAAAAGTAATGCAGTAAATACTAGTTTTGTTGCAGGGTTGTTCATGGGTCTTTTTTTCAGTTCAGGAGTCTATATTGGACATGCAGCATTTACAAGCCTCGCAAAAAAAGTTTTATTTTCAGAGTTTAAGACTCAGGCAGGCAGCCAGGCTGGCACAGTTTATCGTGCAAACTGATGGTATATATCTCACAACACTACACCGAATCCCATTTTTTCCTGTTAGCCCTGATGTTTATGAACTTTGTAGGCATCTAGAGAGAGCAGTTCCACATTACCTCAAACCTTCCATAGGCAGGCTGAGCAGTTCTGCAGCTTTATTAGACCCAGTGCTACTAGGAAGTTCACTTGAATATATGATTCGTATCAATGTTATTTTTAGTTATTTTGTGATGATACATTCTAAGCTTGCAATCTCTTGATGGGGAAGCTGCATACTGCTTTAACCGGATTCAGTGGCTTTTAAAAAGAATGACTTTCTACAGCAGAGATCTATACAGGGTTATAGATAAATGCCCTATAAATACAGGCTTAGATATACAGTATGCACACGCAATTAATAATAACTGCATAAAAGTCTCAGCAAGCTGTATGTTAACCACAGAAAAATTCTTACATTTTTTTCTCTTTATGACAAGTGGAATAACATATTTACACTGATTTGTCTTCTGTCATGAACTTATCCTCATTTGCTCTAACAGCCTGTATCCATTTGTCTGTTTAGTTGAACGTCAATGAAAAGGGTTGAGGTGGTTCTCTATCTTTGTAAATCAATTTATAAATAGAGAAAATCAGTATATCGGCACCACCACCATGATTAACAGTGAGCACAATGTTCATAGACTCCAAACCGCTAACCTGTTTCAACTCTTCTCATCACTGTAACCAAATCCCCAAACATTTGTTTCATCTGTCCATAGCACCTCTCTTTAGAAACCATTTGACCCTGAGTGCAGCTGCACATGGCTGAGCTTAAAGTTTGGGATTTAGGAGCAGATGCTGTTTTTCTTGGCCATCACCCTTTCAATCCATGCCTATGTTAGGCTCTTCAGTCTTCCAGTTTATGATCTGTTTGAGGCTTGGTGGTTCTTGAGTAGTTCTTCCATGATGCTAAACATTTTTCTTTCTTCAGTCTCAGGAGTGTCGTTTGGGTCAGATGATCGGATATAGGGTATAGTTGAGTAACAGCATGACAGTGAACCAAAACACATTAAAGAAGGATTTAGAATAAATAAAGATGGCTTCTGTTAAGCTTCTGAAATGGCTCTGACACTGACCAAAGCAGATAAGCTTAAAAGTTGGGTTCCCACCAATAAGCAACTTATTTAAATGAACTAAAATCCAACAAGATCAAACAAACAGCCTGAATTATGGCAAAAAGTTATTACTGACTATAAAATGTCTGTGGCTTGAATAATCATTTGGATAATCATTTCAAATATCCAAACAGAAAACGACATTTATGCTGCAGATAATCTTAACCCCTAACTAAATAGACAAATAATTATGCGCTAAAGTGCAAGATATAGCCTTATGAATTCGTTTTCACAGCACTACAGTTCAAGAGAATTTAATGTGTTACTTAAATTTACTCCTTACAAAAATAAGTGTGAGCAGTGTGTCCAAACCAAATGTATAAATATGTGTAAAGAATGGAAGTTGGATATCATAAGCAATGCACATTTGACAAAAAAAGGTCCACTATGTCTGGATTAGGGTCACATAATTAAGCAACCACTTCAACTGATTGTAATCAAGAATCAGCATGCAGTGGAATCAGAACAAAACTTGATGCTGACAGTGAAGAAAGCTGCTGTTTTCTTTGTCAGCCTTACCCAGAATGTTTTTGCATTTGTAATCCTTAATTAGATAAAAGCCAGATGATTCCTAGACATCTAACAAGATGCATGTGGAGTGAATTAAATAGTCTGGGACCAAACATTACCCAATGGGTTTCCAGGTGGGGTCTGTACTTATTTAAAGCATCAACATGACAGCCTCAGAGTGCTTTTGCCTACAGCTGCTTCACCATGAGAGCCAAACACTGACAGCCTGCAGTTATTCTTTTTGTCTTGTTTCTGAGCAGATATGTGTGTGTGTTCTTTAAATACAACACTAAACGTAGTTTATCTGTGATTTGTTTTTTTTGTTTTTTATAACTGCAACCACATTTGCATTTATAATAATGCAGTATGTTTAGCAGGCTCGCTTTAAAGAAATTAAGCTATTGTAGTCTATAGAAAAACTACATGCTTTTTATTTAACCATCCAATTTGGAGATTTCTGCACATGCAAAACAACACTGAGGAAGTTTATTAAAGTGATTTGAAAAAAAAAGAAAGCACAGTCATGCCCACATGTTTTTTATGCTGTCTGCTTTTCATTTGCAGTTCCAGCGAACAAGTTGCCTTGAGCCAGCTTGTCCTTCTGACTCTCCCTTTAGTACACAAGACCAGCGGTGCCTTTTCTTTGTTGAATGATTTTGAAAAAGGCAAACAGTAATTTGTTTGCCCTCCTAGGCTGTGACCAAGAACCGAAAACATTCAAGGGTGCATGTATAGCAAGAAACCATTTTTATTTATATTTCAGAATGACAAATAGTTATGGACATTACTTTTTGTTGTTTCAATACACAAGCAAAATCTGTATGGACAATCATTTAGTAAATGGAAACCAAACAAAATCATTTGTACACGTATTTTACAAAACATACTGTAGTTCGTCACTGACAAGAGCGATAAGCAGGAAGGTATTGCTATTCATATGGTACAGCTAATTACAGTTGATATGATAAAAAAAAGCAAAATAAGTTATTAAATCAACATCAATTACACATAGAGAATGTGCAACCTCAGCAAAGCATTTCACGAATGTATTAAGGATTTAGTTTTAAAAAGTTGGAAATGAGTTACTGAAGGTTAACACAATATTGGTAAAATGGCATTGAAAACTTAATACAAAAAAAAAATACCAGCATAATTCATTGAAACCCTTTACAATACCTGACATTGGTGTCCATTTATGGACCTGTGAAAATATGTAGCCAATTTTTGCCTATAAAACCGCTAGTTTAACCATCTAAAGTGCATTTACAGTGTCAGTATTTTCATTCTTTAACAGAATGCTTCCTGGGTCTTTTACTTGTTGAAACTGTGATTCCTATCCTCACTTGTCCAGAGCACCACTTTGATTGACGAGAGAAGGCATCAAATGACCGCATCAAGTGCCAACTGCAGAAACAAGCTCCTAAACTCAGCAACAGCAGCTGGTCGGAGTTTGGAAAAACAATTTATGTAAAATGGATGGAATAAGTCTTCAGTCTAGTAATCACAAGGAAAGATGTGACTTTGAAGACAGGAGGAATTAACACTGGGAATATTTGCTGTTTCATTCAGAACGCATGACCGAATGTTCTTAGATATTTTCTACTCCATAATGCTGATAATTTTTTCTTCCCTAAAAGGTCCCTGATTTTTTATTTTTTTTGTTTGTTTTATATTGAGAGTTCATTTCCATCTTTGTATGGCAAGGGTCCAGTTCCAAATCTACTGATTTAGACTTTGAAAAAGCTCCCTAACATTTGTAAGTTTTGAGCTCCCAAGATATAAACAGAGCAGTAACATCTCAAATGCAAAGGCCAAGATCTCGGCTAAATCTTTTTTTTTTTTGTTTAGCAACATGTACCTCCAATGTATTCCAACAAAGTTCAGGCGGATCCAAACACAGAGTGAGAGTTATAGTCTTGTTCTTTGGTCCATATGCACCACCAACATAATTGTGCATTTGTTCATGTATTCAAAACACAGTTAACCTGTCAGACACAATCAGAAGGAGAAAAAGACCTGCACGTTTTTTGCACAGCTTCTTGTAGCTATTCATTCATATTGGTAAGGCAATTCCAAGTGTCCCTTTCCACACCGAGGAATGTACTTTCATTAAAAGTTGATTGTGATTACCATAGGAAACAAAGCTTTCTATAGGATCTCCACACTAGAGTATGCTGTGTAAAAAGATGCATCATAAAAGTTGAATTATAAAGACATTATGTCTCTATTCTTTCCAAATGACTGCAAGTGGGTGAATGAAAGGGCTGTAATATCTCAAACACAAACTTTAACATATACGGTAGATCCTTTTAGAATTCAGATGTTCTTTGTGCTATAATACAGAAACATGATACAAAATAAGCCACCTTTAATCCACTACTAAAAGCGGTTTATTCATTAAGAGTTTTACCTGTCCTGCCATAAGAGCTGAGAAATGGTTCAACCATGGAATATGGAGGAAGTAAACCATTTAAAATAGAGTAGCAGGAGGGAAGGAAAAAATACTGCTTGAATCTTACAAAAAGAGTGTGCTATGATGCTTAAAAGGCAGATCCAAGTCTTTTTTTGAAGACTTTAGGGGTGACTTTAGAATGGAAGAAATCCGATAGTCAGTTTTTAATAACTTTTCTAAAGGCATCTGATATCTTCTCCTGGCTCTTGACGCCGTAAACATTAAAGAAGGGGTAGCTCTTATTGAGTGTACTTTAGTGCTGTGCTCACTTAGACGTGTGGCCACCTCCTGGTTACGTTTTAAACAGCGAGGTGGCTCCAAGATTAGGAATGTATCCCTTTGTGCGCCTTGACCAGTCGGGCCTCACTGATAAGGCGGCGGGTGTGCCTCTCGTCCCGCACCCCGGCCTCCCTCAGGCTGCTCTCCGTTAATAGGGCCACACGACCCAGCGTGTCAACGCCTGCTGCCTCCAAAGATGGAGCGTACATGGGCAGGCCAATGGATACAAGCCAGTCTGGGACTGTGCTGATAGTGCCCAATGTTATGGGCTTGCGGGACATCTCTGTCAAACCTCCAGAGGGGATCTGAAATATAAATGAAGACATCAGCTTTACAGAAGTTCTAAGATAAACTTTGCACTCTGAATGGTACTTAATAGGGAAACAAAGGTAAATGTCGACCCATTTTAATGCAAAGTAACATAGGACTACTCTCAAGTGCATTACAATCTAGTCTAATATAATCTAATATTCATGTGTTTCAGTGATAATTGTAATGTGAATGAAATGTTGTCTTACTGCCATGCGGTGCTGTTTACGTAGCTCTTTTACTCTGAGCTGATCCAAAGTGGAGCCCACGTCTTTAACAGGCTGCTCCAAGTCCTCAGAGTATCGCTGGATCAGTGGCTGTGGAATGCCACATCGGCCGTGCTGTATGAAAAACGCAAAGAGATACATCATGAGCTGAGGAAAGGAGGACACATTTTTGACCAAAAGACACATTTAAAAAAAATATATTTTAACTCAGAACCCAAAAAATCTATAGCCCCATTCAGCCTATCCTTTTAAAACCGTGCCGAGATCGGTCCGAGATAACTGTTGAGTGTAAATGGCACGCACAACTGAACCGGACTGCACCAGACACAACAGAACCGCGCAAACGTGGTACTAGTTCATCAGTAGGGCTTGGCACGGTTCAGTTATGGCTTAGTTCTCAGATAAGAGCGCATGAGCAGGCCGCGTCATCTCCGTAATCACAAAATTTAAGACATTCATATAAACACTAGCTTCCCTACCATGCCACATGATTTCCAGTGATGACTATGCTTAGCAGTGTGATGAAACACAAGTCCTGTCGTTTTGGACCGCGTCTATAAGCACCGATTAGACTGCTGTTTCATATTTATATCCCAAAAGCCGACTATGTCAAGTAAATTCACCAAAGGCTGCCTTCTTTGCCTGACTCTTCGCAAACTTCCTGAATGTTATGGTCGTCGCCATGTTGATTTGCTTGTTTCTCTCTAGAGAACAGTGGTACCATAGATCGTCACTAGTAGGCGAGGAGCCGTGCTAGTGAAGTGTGTAAATGGTCGTAAGTAACCGAGCTCGGCACTTTTAACTGATCCAATCTTGGCACAGATCGGCTTTCAGAGGGTAGTGTAAATTGTGCTTATGAAACTGCCCAAACACAACCATACCACTTTTTTCATCATTGGAAATCACACCATTGACTATTCTTTGCAGTAGAAATTTGAACCTATTTCAGACCTTATAAAGGTGCTAAAGGACTGCCTTGCAATCACTTGATTGTGTGTCATTATTGAGTTAAGAGGACTGAGTTTACCTTCTGTTGTAATAAAAGAGTTGAACTGAGTTAGAAGAGAGCCCAAGAAAATTTAAAAAAGAAAACTGCTTTACTGTTTTTTCGGCCCTGTTGTTAAATGATAATAAGAAGGTTAAATGTCCTCAAGAAAAGCGGTTTTGTTTGGCATTTGAGACTGCATCCATTGTCAACAATATGAAAAAAGCTTTTAAAAAAATTAAACATGATCTTTATA